CCATCGGGACATTCATCAATCCAAATGACAAAACTGTGAACTCAATGTTTTGAACAACGTTTTAAAGAAGTAAGCCTCCATAATCCTCAACTGATGGTATCACTTTTGCAGATCTATTTTGGAGTAAACCTTTGCCCCTCCCAGTTGATCAAAGAGATCATCGATCCTCGACAATGTGCACCGGTTCTTGATGGTGACCTAATTCAATTGTCAATAATCTATACAAAGTCTAAGGGTCTTGTTCGTCCTTGGAGGTATCACAATAAATAACGATGACAGTGGACCAGAAAAAAAAGAGTATTCATTCAAACCCGCCCCGTTTGAACCAGGATGGACCATACATATTGGACGGTAAATATATACAAAGATATCCGTATAAACCCGTACGGAGATGAAAGCGGGGATGAACTGACCGTTATCCCCGCCCCGCCCCGTCACGCCACGCCCCCGATTACCCGTTATATATATATATATATATATTCATATATATGGATGGTCCACTCAGTCCAATGACTATGCTCCACTGCAGCGGCTTCCCTAGTAGTATGATCCCAATGTCATTCGGCATCGCAGCTGTCTCTACGGTCAGTCATTCTCTTTCCCTCACTCTCCTCTTCTTTTGGTACAGTAAAGTTCATTGCCTCCTATCTTATTTGATATATGCCCACCTACTGTTCGATACTCCATTATCATAAATTGTTAAAGCAAATAAAATCAAAGCTTATTATTCGATACTCTATTATCATAACCTACTGAATCTCTCTCCTCTTTCATTTTGTTTTTTTCTTTATTTAGGATTTATGTGTTGTGTCTGTGTATTACGATTGATTTAAGTGTATGATTTGATTCTGGTGTGCTAGTGATGAGCGAATAATATTTGCTACTCTTGATGGATTTTTCTCAAATCCCATCTGATGATTCCTATCAACCAAGATCTCTGAGGATGCCTCTTGAAATTTTCTTGCTTATGAATCTGATTGTTGTTCTTATATTTATCTTTTTGTTGAGTTTTGTTTTGGTTACTCCATGGCGGTGATGTTTTTGGGTTTGACGAGTCTATCACTCTGATCCAAAGATGAAAACACTACTTTGCTTTATAGTTTTTGATGTTTTGGAGCTTGGGCTTGGGCGGAGGCAGAGGCGGAGGCGGAGATTACAAATTTACCCACGAACGGGGATGATGATAAAAACTATACTCGTTAATGGTGTGAACCGAAGATGGACGAAATTTTTTTAAGCGGGTACGGAAATAGAGACTACACCCCCCACCGCTTTGGTCCACTGACATTCCTAACAGTAGACCATATACCTCTACCCCCTTTCTGACACAATCAAAATAGGAATTGAAGTGAGTCTCCTATTTAACTCTTGGAACGCCCTTTCACATGAGTCATCCCACTAGAACTTGACCTTTTTCTTAGTCCACCTAGTCATGAGTGCGACTAGCCGTGAGAAGTCCTCAATGAACCTCCGATAATATCTTGCTAATGTCAATAAACTACGTATCTTGAAAACTAACTTAGACCTTTCCCAACTCATAACTGCCTCAACCTTCTCTAGGCCAAATGACACACCCGAAACAAACACCACATGTCCCAAAAATTTCATCTCCGTTAGCTAAAATTCACACTTGCTGAACTTGGCATATAATTGATGGTCCCTAACAATCTGAATGCCATCCACAAAGACAATGGCGAACTAATCTAAATAGAGTTGAAACACTCTATACATGAGATCCTTAAATGTTGTCGAACATTCGTCAATCCAAATGAAATAACTATGAACTCAAAGTTCTGAACATCATTTTAAAGAAGTCAACCCCCCTAATCCTCAACTGATGGTATCCCTTTCGCAGATCTATTTTAGAGTAACCTCTTCCCCCTCCCAATTGATCAAAGAGATAATCGATCCTCGACAATGGACACCTAGTCTTGATGGTAACCAGATTCAATTGTCGGTAGTCTATACAAAGTTTAAGGGTCTTGTCATTTTTCTCGACAAATAATATCGGAGTACCCCAAGATGAGGTACTGAGTCTAATAAAGCCCTTGTCCAACAATTCTTGCAATTGGACCTTGAGTTCTTGCAACTCTGCAAGTGTCATCCTATGTATCGTCATAGAAATAAGGGATGCACCAGGTTATAACTTAATAGTGAAGTCTACATCCCGATGTAAATGTAGACTTGAAACTGGTCTAGTAAAATATCTGCATACTCACAAACTACCCGAGGTAAACCCACTCCTATCTCGCCTCGTTTCCAAGTGTAAGACTCGCAAGTCAACTATCAATTGTTCATGCCAACATGAACATAGCTTGGAGTAAAGCATCGTGTTTCTCCCTAAAATTTCAAACAGAAGCCATCTAGTTTATATATAGTGACCCTCTCCAATCACAATCAATGACAACTCAGTGTGCCATCAATAAATCCATCCTGAGGATGACATCGAACTCTGAGATGTCCATGAACCTAAGGTCTATAGTGAGTAGAATCCCCTAGAACTCTAGCTCACACCCCCGACATATTTGATCAATACAAACCCTAACTCCTAGGGAAGAACTCACATACAATAGCTCTTCTAAGGCCTCAACTTCTAAGCTCAAATCTTTTACTCGATGCAATTATGAATGAATAAGATGCACACGAATCAAATAATACCATTGCTCATAAGTGAGAGAGCATAAATGTACGTTGAATCACTAACTGATTCATCAGCTCAGTCTAAAGGTGTGATGGTGTAGACTCACCCCTAGGTCCTTGAAGTCCCGACTTGTAAGCCCAGTCCTCGGCCTCAACCCAAACACTAGCCCATCTGGCCTGATTGCGAAATGGCAGGGCCCTATGTAGCCCCCTAGAACTAAAACTGACTTCCCTAACTCATGTTAGGGTAGAGAGGAGTGAAGAATGTCTCTAGATGTCCCACCGATGACTGGGACTGAGATGTCCTGTAGCACTACGATCCCTGTCTTTGAGGACAATCTTGTTTCAAGTGATCCTGCTGGTGGCATATGTAACAAGTCATCTGGTTAGCCTCATAAGTGGCCCTGAGATTTCACCCACCTTGGGAGGATTTACCTTGGTCTTGGCCTTGGACTTGGACTTAATAGTTTCGACCCTGAGATTTCTCCCTCCCATGTCAAATGCAATACGAATGCGATACAACCCGTACATATATAAATGTAATATACAATTACAATTACCATGACATGTTCATCATTTCATGAGTATATTATGAATATATCCAATGTCCACCAACATTCCCAAATTTCTCAATTGTCAACTATATCATAAAGCCTATAATCACAATCCACTACACTACCAAGCATGTTATAGCATATTCTATACACATAACACATTTAATCAACTATATGCATTTTATCAAACGCCTACAAGAAACAAAGATTATGTAAACACATAGCATGCCCAAATCAACATAATTACTCATGAAATTTCAAGACAAGCAAATTCATTAATACCCAAACATGCAAAACTTGGTTTAAAAATATTCATAGACACATTTCTATTCTCTAACAGCCTAGGCATGTGTTATACATGAAATTTCGTCTCTAACACCCTACCCATTTCATATTTCAACCCTAAGTTAGAAATAAACCTAGTTAGAAAAGGAACCTTACCTCTTGTAGCGTAAATCCGCGTAGAAGAAGCTCCAAAAGACCCAAATCAAACTTCCAAGCTTTGATCCCAAAAATTTGATCTTCGAGATTGTGGCAAAACATGCGATCTTTGGTACGTACGCGTAACTTTCGTCGCGTAGAACAACCTTTGTACTTGGCTCGAAGAGATCCGATAGTTGGATCTTTGTAGATCGAAGGAAGAAGGCTTAGAGAACTTGGAGATTCCTCCTTTCTTTCTCTCTCTCAATTTCTAGAAGTGTTTGGCTAAAATATAGGGAAAAAAATCTAATTTTTCTCCCGTTTTATACCCCTTCAATGTTTAGCCTACAACACGTCACACGTCCCTTTTTTCTAATCAAATTTCATCCCGAATCAATTAAATCTCGCTTTATGTTTAGTATATTTTTTTTGAACTAATTTTAAATTGTTCCTCGAGTTTCGCAAATAAAGTCTAATCGCATTTATTATAGTTACACGATATTTAATCGTATCGTAAAACGCAAAAAATTCAACTGTCCTTAAACTCAACAAAAATTAACTGGATAATTAGATTTTGCGAGACAAATCCAACGGTGTGATCCATTTTGTCATCCGAATTCTAGAAAAATTTAGGTTTTCTACCTGTATCGTAATGGTTAATTACTGTTTTGCCCTTTTAAAATAAAATTTTAAATTTTTCGGGTTTTACACACACTGCTAGAGATATTACACTCCAAAAGCCAGAGAAAAAAAGAAAGTTTTCTCAAAGTAGTCAAAAAACCTTCTCTTACTCAAAACTACTCAATTGGTAAAAAAGGGATCCCCATTTTAATAAGAGTTTACCTTCACTACAAGTCTAACTCTTACTATGTTTTATAACAAAAAAAAGTCAATCTACAAATGAAATTACTCAATCCATTGGTCTTAATGAAGACCTGGTTCTGGAAATTATTGAGCATCAATATCAATATGATACTTCCTAAACATAAATGCACTCGAGCCAACTTTATCCACCATGATGAAGAAACAATAGTAGTTAAAAAATTATTAACCTATTTAACTGAAAACATCAAGTCTTCATATCATAACTGATTATATAATTACCCTCACAATACAGCTAAATATATATAACCCTCCCCCAAAAAACAAAAAAAACCAACGCTAACAGCAAATATAAAAAAAAAATTTCTTGCTTAGCACAAAAATTAGCAGCAAATTACATGAAAGTCAAGCCAACAAATCTAACAAACTATAACGATTTGACTAAAAGATAAGCATTGGAAACAATCAACAATAAAAAAGAAAAAGCAAGCACTCAATGAATTGATAAGGATAGAATAAAAAAATTAATAAATTACAATCTACTAAAGAGGAAAGCACAGTCTACTAAAGAGGAAAGCATGTACCGGAGACATCCACTTCCTTGATCTTCCTTGAAATGACACAATTGTCGCACATCCCTTAAAAAGTGGAAAAGCAAGTGGAGTGCATCATTACTTGAGCTACCACCAAGAAACATGAGGGAAACAAACCATTGATAGTAAAAATTCACAAGAGATACCATTGCAGTCTTGTGATGGCTCAGAAAAATGTCGAAAGAAAGCACTTCGACGGCATTCTCTTTTAGACTGCAAAAAAAAAAGTCAAATATGGAAGGGTTTAAATTGCATCAAGTACAAGGGCAAGGATGCCGTTTACCCTCTATTTACTATAAATTAACACTAACTATATTAGTTTGTACCCAATTTATCCGCTCTAGACCCCATTAATGGGGAATAGTTTTCTTTCTTTATTTTATTTTTTTTTTATTAAGGGGAATAGTTTTCACAAAAGCCTTTTGTTGTATTGATTATTAGAGACATTAGGAACAAGACAAATGAGAGTAATTCAAAGAGACAAAAATCCTTTTACATTTTGGTGGGCTGACTAGGTTGTGTGACGCCCCAAAATCCATAGGTCCTTTCTTAACCCGTTGATCACCATCAACCCATAGAAGTACCTGTGAATGCCCTATAACCCGACGCCATGTCATTACATCCCCTTCACCAGGATCATAACCAAAACAAAAGTCCGGCAGACTCTCCTTTGTACGAGAGCACTACTCAACACATAACCTGTTCATACATTGATCGTATGACCAATCCAAGGACCCATCCCATCAATTAGAACTTAATATTTAACCAATTTCAGCATTCAAATGAGAGGGCTCAAGACCAGAAGGCTCGGCAATGCTATATTTTAAATTTTCAAAATTTTGGAAGAGGTACCGATACTTCTTACACGTGGTATCGATACTTGAGCCTTCTGGTTGCCAGGTACCACATGTAAAAAGTACCAGTACCTTTTCCAAAATTTGCTTAATTATCTATGATACCTATTATTTCATAATTATCTCTGGTACCTATTATTTCATTATTATTGAATGTGTGACTGGCAGAGAGATTCTCCCTTTCTACTACTAGAACAGCAGTCCCAAAATCTGTTGACTGCGTATATAATCAAAGGAAAAAATTTATTTGTTAAATGTTAACCCTACCGTATGTCATTCTCAACACCAAAATCTGAATGCAAGTGGGCGGCAATCCTTCAAATTTTTTCTCTCTCTCTCTTTCTCTCTTTCTCTGCCTCTTCTAAAGGTGAAGGTAAAGATGCGACAAAGAACTAAAAAGTGCGTCTATTTATATGCTACAATAGAGACCCTAAGGAGAAATAAGAGGAGGGCTTCCAATAGACAGGAATCCTTTGTCTAACCCAAAACAAACATTATATGGTCCACTAATAATTAGTTATCAACTAAAAACTTATTATTGATCTCCCAAACCTTATTTCAAAATTATATTTTGAGCTCCTCATTATTTTATACTTAATAATCTCCCCGCATTTAAGATTACAAATGCCCGTCAATTAATTAAATTACAAACAATTACATTTAATTAACTTTTTTTTATTCTTAAGATCTTACCACTCAACTTATTTGCAATGTCGGACAATTAAATCCACCTACAAGATTTGACATGGATAAAAGTAATGAGCATCCTTAAGAGGGCATCATTAACTCATTTAAATACTAGAATGTTGTTTCCTTTAATAATTAATTTTCACCATACAAATAATGTTATCTCTTGATTCACTAAGTTTATTGACTCAAATATGAATCTCATACTTTGATAAATTAAAATAACAATCATTATATGCATATGTCCATTAAATATCTCAAGATTAAGAGCTTAAATAATCATAATAACCATTAGATATTTATTTTTTTATTTAGTCAATGAAAAAGATAATAACCTTATTAAAGGTCATGTGCAATACACAAACTGTACTAGTATAACAATCCGAGACATCAGACAATCTCCTATAGCCAAGACAGACTATATCAAAAGATTGCGCTATAATCCTACTTATGGTGCGTCTAATTCCATCTAACACTATGAACTTTCACTCATATCATAAAATAATCCGATAATCTGATCTTTTGTGTATAAGTCGAACTCTACACACTAGATTATCTACAATGTAAAATAAAAGACACACCCAACAACATATATTTACATAATGCAAACATTTCATCCAGACAGATTCTCATTAAAATAGAAAATGAAGAATTTTTAGTAAATAATAAACTGAGTTTCACTACAAAAAATAAGTTTTTAGTATATAACTTAATCACCTTCTCCTCATAATTTCATATATTTTAACAATTGGGATACTACATATATGGAAATATAGAGGAAAGTTCCAGTAGCCAACCCAAAATTCTTAGAAGAAAGCTCACACGATGCTATTATTCAAGTTGCGGCAAAATTTCATGTCAAGGCACCCTAAGGTCAATATCACCCATGTATCTTGGGATTTTTCAAACACAGTAAGAGTTAAAATATAAAAATAAGGATGAGAAATAAACACTCACTGAATTTGTATTATCAAGTGATAAGATTTATATTTCTTACTGATCCTTATATATATGTCATTCGCAAAGGGGGTTTCTATGTTACCACTAAGAGAAGAAATGAGATGTCTCTTTTAATTGTTGCACAAATTGAAGAAATGATTCAACCATTGATTCACAGGAACCCGTAATTTGATTATCAAGACGAAGTTTTCTACCTGACAATATCGTGCTACATCATAGAGATTTTGCAATCCATAATTCTCATAGAAGACCATTGAGCTCTGTACAAAAAAATACCACATTCAAAAATTCAATAACTGTTCAGCTTATTACGGAAAGCATGGATTCTCAAACAAATAACTACCTGCCTAGGGACATCACCGGGTCTAAAGTAGAGTAAGCATTCTGAGGGAAGTCCATCTCGTCCTGCTCGACCACTCTCCTGCAATAGAAGAAGTTACACAAAGGACGACTAAGACGTACAAAAGTAAGCTTAGTAAGAGAGTAAAAAACCTGGTAGTATGTTTCCATCGACTTGCTTAGGGTGTGATGGATTACAAACCTAACTACAGGAAAATATCATCAAATTACAAAAATGTGTATGTATATGTAGTAATGAATATATAGTCACCTATTCATCCGGGGTGTATATCACGCAACAGAAATAACTCCATGATGGTCAAAACTAAAACAAAATTAAGCCCAACCAAATTAAATACCGTAATTTAGAGTTCTATAATTAGTGTTTTGAAAAGCACACCTAGACGAGCCTATGTCGCCTGAAAGAGTCCAAAAGAGAAGCAAACTTCAAAGAGACAAGGAATAAGCGACCTAGTCAACCTAAGCGATGAGGCAAGCGCCTAAGTGAAGTTTTTTAGTTTTTGTCTTTGTTTATTATGGGTCGTGAGATTGATCAATTGGATCAAACATTAGATATGTCAATAACAGCCCATTGAGTCAAACTCATATTTGTACACTAACCCTAATCAACAGATCCCTAATCCTCTAAATTGATTTGAGTTGGAGAATTCTACTTTTTGCAACACTCACAGACTCTCTTGTGATACTCACCAGATAGGCATAGCTCACCAAATTCTCTTCTATTCTTCTGGACAATCACCAGATAGTATTTTATCTTCCTCTTCTTCTATTCTTCTTCTCTTGAGCCAATATTTTTCTTTTTCTCTTCTTCTTCTCAGAATCAGATTTACAATTTATTATTGCTTCTTTGTCTAGTCACTAGGTTCATGCTTTGCTTCTCTTCTACTTCTTCCCCTTTTCTTCCCCTCTTTCTTCTTTTGCGATGATCAAATTTTCAATGTAGTGGTCATTATTGTTTTGCCTAAGATGGTTTTGCTGATTCTGTCGGAGTTATGTTTGATGGCTCAGCATGATGTTTTCTCTACTCCAGCTCTTAATCATGTCTCTTCTTTCAGCTTTACTCATATAAGTATATGTGCTAGTGTGTTTGCTGTGGCATCTTCATATACTCCTTGGATAATAGATTCTAGAGCCACAAACCACATGGCAAGTTTTTTTAGCCTTTTCTCTTCATACTCTACATATTCTATTAAGGATAAAATCAAAAATGGTAGATAGACCTTTATCCTCTATTTCCTGGAAAAGTTCAATCACTCACCCACCTTATCGCTCCACTCTATTATCCCTGTTCCAAATTTCTCCACTAATTTATTGTGTGGTAATGGTATTACAAAATCATTGAATTGTTTGATGATTTTTTCCTTACTCATTATATCTTTTAGGAACTGGAATTGAAAAAAACAATTGATAGTTTTAGGACAAATGGCAGTTTGTATCTCATGGATGCCGAAGCTTCTCCTCAGTCTACCTATCAAGCTCTCCAAGCAGATGGTGTTCTAGCCCTTCACCTCTTATATCAGTGACATAGGCATTTGTGGCATCTCTCATTTGGTTTCTTAGAATATCTTTTTCTTAGTCTACTGAAATAGTATAATAGACAATTTTTTGTTCACGAAGAATAAACGTTCATCTTATTCGAGTATCAATAATAGAAGCAATGCTCTTTTGTCATTATTTATTCTAATCAATGGGGCCCTTCCTGTGTTATCTCTTTCTGGTTATTGTTTGTCATTTTTATTGATTATGATTTTCATCTTGCTTGGGTTTATCTATCTTTTATGCTTTCTCGTGCTTTAGATCTTTTCATAAAATGGTGAGTACTCAGTTTGTCGCTAAAATCAAAATTTTTTGAAATGATAATAAAACTGAGTATATTGATGGGGAATTTTGTTCTTACCTCGATGCGAATGGAATTCTATATCAAACTAGTTATGTGAGCCCCATTAAACAAAATGGTGTTGCTGAGCGAAAAAATAGTCATCTTCTTGAGATAGCTCATCTATTGATATTTACAATGAATATTCCCTAATCTTTTTAGGGGGAGGCAATCTTACAATCGCTTATTAATGGGTCACATGGTGTTCACTTTAACAAGGATAATCTAAAAACTTATTCACACACCACCAACCGGCCATTATCAGAGTCACCATTTCCGATTACAAGTAATTGATCCGTCAGTTGAATTCCTCACATCCTCCACTGATCTATTAAGTTCATAATGAACCTCCAAGTGTTACTCCCATTATCGATAATCCAGTTATTGATGACTTTGAGGTTACTATTATAGCCAAAAAGGGTGTTCAAACTTGTACTCAACATCGCATCTCTAATTTTGTCTCTTATAATTCTTTGTCCCCATCCAATCGTACTTTTGCTTCCTCTTTTTCTTGTATGTCTACTGCTCAAGGTTGGAACAGATCTCTTCAGTGTAGGGTTTTCTTGCTAGAGAGAGAAGCTCTACCTTCTCTCCAGATTTTTTCTTCCAATAACCATGATTGCTAATCCACATCACCGTTTGATTCCACTAAAAACCACCAAATATAACCAAAACCTTTGCATCACTATTCAAGAACCACGTAAATTCATTGAATCTTCAATTTTTCACTTTTCACCAAAATCAGCATGATGGCTCAAAACTTGAAAATTCGATAGCAACTGATAACGATGATCTTCCGGTACAAGTAGAATCAATGAAGGAAGAGGTTCCCCACATAAGACCTGGGAAAAAGGTCGTGTATACTAATGGGGAGCCAGGGATTTACTGGATGACTGAGGAAACAAAGAGCTCAAAGCAATTTCAGTAAACATTAATCGGGAAGCGTGTTTATGGAAAGCCTTCAATTGGAGTGATTAAGGAGTTTATTAGTTCACGTTGGGCTTTGAATGAGAGTATGCAGGATATATTTTGAATCCGATTCCAAGGATTTTGGTGGTAGACACTCCAACGATTCAATTATCTAGGTCAGGGGTTGCAAGGGCATGTGTTGAAGTCATTCTGCTTGCAGATAATCTGAAAAGAATTTCGTTGGATATGGGGGCCTCTACTGGTAGGTTGCAGAAAATAGTATATGAAAAAAGAAAGCAAATACTGCTCAAGGTGTCTTCAACAAACATTGTGGAGGAAGATTGCAGGAAGAAAAAGAAAGAGGATAGCGAGAGAAGTAATGAGGATTCTGAAACAAAACAATGTTTTGCTAATGGGAAGAAAGATCAAAAAGGTAAAGGGGTGGCCAATGAACAAAAAAGAAAGGAACAGAAAAAGGAGTTTAAACAGAATGGTGTCCAGATCAGAAGTAATGAGAATGATGGTCTGGAAGAGTCTAAATTTAAGGTGAAGCAAAATCTGTCAAAGCTCAAACATAATATTCAAATTGATGACCATTCAGGCAAAGATAACAAGGTGAGTCCTTTTGATACAACCTAAATTAATGTAACAATTGAGAACAATAATGTCCAAATAGATGATATTCCAGATTCAGGAACCACAGAGACTGCGATAGCTGAAGTAGGGCTGCAGAGTGAGTCTCCTCAACTAGTACAGTCTGTTGGTGATGAGCAACAAGCACAGAAGGAGAAGGTTTTAGAATAGAAATTAACTCAGTTGAATAATAAAGGTTGTCCTAATTCAGATGCAGTGTTTTTGATTGAGCATGAGTATGTTAATAAGGAGGGTTCTGGGGTTATCCTTGATGATGAGAGGATTAGTGAGTAATATGGAACCTCCTAACCGAGCCTTTTATATTGACAGTGAACTTTCAACTAAGTATAGATGATGTAGAAATTGACACTCAAAGTCTAGAAACTGAGGAGGGCAAAGAAGCAGGTTTGTTGTTTGAAGCAAACCCTACTGGTATAGTGACCAGATCTAAATCTAGAAAGTTGAACTCCCTTCCTCTACATCAAATGATTAATATCATTTCATGGAATTTAAGGGTTCTGGTAAAGATGTTACAAGAAGGCGTCTTAAGAAATTAAGTAAGATGAGGGATGTCCCTTTTATCTCTATCCTTAAGTTGCCAGGTTTTTCAGCCAGCTTGAACATGAATTCTTATGTACTTAATTCACTTGTAGAAAAGAATATGTGGATTCTTTGGGACCACAGAGTTGAGGTCAAGATTATTGATGTTCATGAGCAAGTTATGACAGTCAAAGTTTCTTTTATGGGGTTCACAGCCATTTATGATTTCTTTGGTGTATGCTGCTTGTGATTACATATTGAGAAGGCCTCTCTGGGACCGTTTGATAAATCTCCAAAACTCTTCTCTACCTGGATGATTGCTGGAGATTTTAATGCCATTTTGTCTTCTTCTCAGAGAATGGGAGGGGCTGTTCCAAGCTTAATAGCAATGGATGAGTATTCTTTTATTCAATCTGGGCATTTAATAGATTGTGGATATTCTGGTAGTGATTACACTTGGTGCAATAATCACCAAGGGAGATCTCGTATGTGGCAAAGGTTGGACAGAACTCTTATAAATTCAGATTGGAGTTTGAGGTTTGAAAATACTGAAAGTTGAGCATATTGCTAAGGGTAGATCTGATAACTGCCCCTTGCTTATCAAAGTTTTGGACATTCCAAGACAGTCCAGGTTATCTTATTTTAAATTCCATGATATGTGGGTGGAGCATCCCTCTTTTCTACAGTTGGTTCTAGTAAGTGGATGGGTACTTCCTCTGACAATCCTATAGAGAAAATTTTCTTGAAGCTGTAAATATTTTGAAAATTGGATTACTTTAGAAAACTACTTTGCAAAACAAGATTGAATGTCACGTATGACGAGCGCTCAACTAAGCACCTTGGGCCCTCAAACCGTTGTGGAGACCATCGAATTTGAAATCTCAGAAGTCTTGGTGTTCACATGGTTTTAGACAACACAGTTTCCTTATTTGGTTAGAAGTTTCCAAACTTGGGTTAATTCTCACGAGCATACACATTGTTTAGAGCCTTAGAAGACTTAGAAAAACCCTAGTCACTGTACATGCAAGTGAAATTTTATCTAGAAAACGTGTAGGTCGTGCTGTTTAGATCCAATCTAAAAGCTAAACTAGTTAGAATTCTCAAGTGAATATCCTTCATAGGATCAAAAAGTCTTACAATTATCATTCCTATTTGAACAAGTTTTGATCGCAATAGTAAGTTGGAGTGATTCATTGTTGGTGATATCATTGAGTATCCAGGTTGGATTTCAAGGAGCTTCAATGAGTTGGACCGATCTTCAATGGATTACTAATCGACAAGCATTTTGAAAGTAGAAACATGATCCTTATATTCGTTGGAGGAGTCACTGTTGTACACTAAGGACGACAAAGGATTCATAAGGAGAGATAGAGGCAAGAGAATAGTTTACCTAGTGGAACTGGAAGGGATTGTAAGTATTGAGTCATGTACCTTCATTTCAATAGTGAATTGGTTTGTGCTGGATCAGGTCCCGCGCTTGAATCAAACTTTCCATGTAAAAATTGCTTAAGTCTCTATACTTGAGTTTTTCATTCCTAGCATGTTTTAATTTTATTAATTGTGTTCCTTTTATTCACTTTATTGTCTAATTGGTTGTGGCAATTTTGTGGATTTGGTTTTTATTAAGTTTTAAATTCTATATATTTTCATCAAGACCTATTCACCCCTCCCCCAAAAGATCCATTTACAGCTTGTAGATACCATTCCATATTCGCTCAGTTCTCTAAAAAGATTAGAAGGATGTGGCAAGCTTCCTTGATTGTAACCAAAAATTCACCTCTTGAAGTATGGTAAACATGAACCCATATTTTAATTAATATAATTAAGTACTGATATTGGTGAATTATATATAATATCTATATAATGAGGGACAAAGGGTTTCAAATCCTAAAATTTATCTTGAGCTTTTCGCAACAAATTGTTTCTTAATTACTAAAGGTTGAAATTCACTCTTAAATTTTTATTTTCCCGCCTAAATTACTTCTAACATTACCTTAACTGTAATCCCAAATTATAGACCATTTAACCTAATTACTGCCCAATCACCATTTCGCTGTTAATTGTATGTCAACCTTCTCTCTCTCTATCTCTACCTATAAACCCTAATTACCGCCCCAACCTCCCGTATCTCTCACCGGTAACATCACCCACACACTAAAATCCTAACCAACCCCCCTCTCTCTCTCTATAACGCCGACTAGCTACTGCCAATGGCTGCACTCAGATTCTCACTCTCCCTCTCCACTCACAACTCTTTCCCATCCGGCGCCGCCATCACCAACCAGCACCTCCACCGCCGCCATCAGCAGATTCTCATTCTCACTTTCCCTTTCCCTCTTGCTGCTCTCCCCTCCCTCTAATACCCCTCTCTCCTCTTTCACTACCATTGCCATCCACCACCACTGTCTGGCACCACCCCATAACCCTTACCCTCTTTCCACCATCATCCGCCTACATTATCTACAGGCACCCCACTACCTATGTCCAATGATTAAAATTTTATTTTGAAACAATGGAAACGTCCGAAACGTTTCCGTTTTCAAGGAGACCGAAAGGAATCTTTGATGGAACTGAAATTATAATACTAAGGTGTTTCATAATGTTCCAAGGTATTTTGTAATGTTTCAATATTTTTGCACAATTTTTTTGGAATATTTCAAGATATTTTGACCCATGTTTTGAAAAAATAATTTTTAAGTTTTTTATTTTTTTCATTATGTTTCCAAAATGGGTCCAAACATTTTCAAAATACCTCGAAATGTTTCTGTTTATTAGGTGACCAAAACAATACACCAAAATGATATTTTGATCCTTACCTATGTCCACCTCTACCCCAGCCCTTCCACCCCCAACCACGAACCATATCCAACGCCATCATAGACATTATAACGTCATAGACATTACAACTGCACAACCCCATCGTTACAGCCACCACCACAACTACCATGCCACATCTATCATCCTCTCCTCAATGACTACAAAGTGTTTGTAGAATTGCTTCAAAGAATTTTTTTGATGAATTGGTTGTTGATTTGGAGAGCTATTAAAAAAAAATAAAAAAACAACGCTCTTTTATTAGATGTTGAAGTTGAAGATTTATTGATTGAGACACCCATGATGCTCTTTTTTTCAATTATATACATTCTTTTGTTTGAAAAAAAGTTATGTTGATTGATTATATTTGCTTACCAAGTGTTAGTGAAAATGCCGATTACAAGCAATTGGGAGAGAGATAAGTACATGAGGTACCCATCAAGGTATGATCACAAGGCTGTGATTTTTTTACCCTTCCAAGATATGTGTATGTATTTAGGTGGTTGGATACATAGTTATTAAATCGTGTATTGGAAGTCGTATCGTTTTTTAAAAATAGTATATCGTATCGTGTATCGTAAGATACAGTGCAATTTTAAATAAATAATAAAAATATATATATATACCTTTGGAAACAAATCATACACTCATAACAATATAGCATTTCATTAATACTCCACCACCTATTCAAGTCATCAACATAGTTCACTAATATTATAATGCAAAGTTTACAACCATAGTTCACTAATTCAAACTTCAAACACCAAAGAGACTTTTAATCCAAATTTATAACATCCATTTTGAATTCAATCCATAAAATTAATCAAGATTCATAAATTTTTATACAAAAAAAAAAATTAGTGTCTTATTTAGACAAAACGACGTCGTTTTATCAGTGGCGGAGATAAAAAAATTAATGTCTTACTTAGACAAAACGATGTCGTTTCAGGAAAAAAAAAAAATAGAGGTTTTGCGCGTATCGGTCGTATCGTACCGATACGTATCGTATCGTAAAAACGTATTGTGTATCGGACGATACAACGCAAAAACGATACATAACTACGATCCATATCGTTTTACCTCCGTATCGTAACGTATCGTGTATCGTACGATACTAACAACTATGGTTGGATATTCGACTGGCATTGAAAAGAAATTTTAGATTATTTGGTATTGTGTTGATTTTCTTTGTTGAACTTCGTATTCTACATGGTTGTTGACAAAAAAAATGTCTAAAGAAAAAAGAGAAAGAAATTTTGACTCATGGTGTTATGCCGATTGGTGCCAACCTGCAACCAGTATAGGTGAAGTCAAGTGACATTCCCATTTATGAAATTTGTGGGCTTGGATTTGATGGCTGGGGATGGATGATTTGACGGCCAGTGGGGTGGGCTTGGATTCTATCGAATTAATTAACTGGTTTGGGTTTTCAAAAACTTCTATTTTTGTATTTATTTTCTTTACTGGTTCTGTGTGTATGGATATGGAGGAGAAAAGAAATGGCATCATTAGTTCACAAACCACATACATAATCACAGGTAAAGGGAAATTTGTTCAAACCATTTGCTTCATTTCAATGTATGATGATCCTATTTTGGAATGGAATTTGATTATTTGGGGAAACCTTTAAATCTGGGAATTATTTCTAAGTGTTTAGTGATTCTTGATTTGGTTAAATTGAAGGGTGAGAATGTTGGATCAATGGAGTAGTCGGCATTGCAAAGAATTTTAAGGAATTATACTCTCAACTGTGAGCAGATCCATGTGATTGGTCATCCTCTAGCTTTCGGAGGTTGCGACGAAGAGATTGTGAAATGGTAGATTAGTTACATATACACCCAAATGAAGGCCGATGGTGAATAATCTAATTTTTATAGTACTCTTATCTTTTAATTTTTCTATTTTATGAAATTAAAGGAATTTAGATTTTTTCAATGAAG